CTGCCACAACTTCCCCAAGAGATTTGTGTGTCAGGAGCCAACGCCTGGTCCTGACTTGACCCTGTCCTGGCTGCCCGAGCTGAGGATGGATGTGGGCCAGACTCACCCAAGAGAGGGAGGCAGCTGGCATCCAGGCAGATCACTCTAACACAGCTGAGAACACGGCCGAGACCCAAGCAGTGGCAAGGAGGAACATGGTTAGAAGGCAAGGCTGAGATTGGCCTTGGGGAAGGGCCAGGGTGGGAGAGGCTACGGGATAGTACTGAGCGGCAAGGGAAGGAGCAGGGCACGCCTGCCTTAGCCCCTCCCCTCCACCCCTCCCCTCATGGCAGGCCGGACGGGAGAACCTTAACCAAGACCCCTCCCCTTCACTTCTCCTGCCGCCTGGCAATCCAGGCAGACAAGAGAAGCTCGCATGGGCGCCCCCCACCCCACTTCTCCCCCCTTCTTCCTTCCTCTCTCCCCTCCCCACTTTTTCTTTCTCTCTCTCACTGTTTCCCCCCTCTGTTTCTTTCTCTCCCCTTCTTCCCTTCCTTCCATTCACTCTCTCTCTCTCAATCTCTTTCTACCCTTCTTCTTTCCTTCCTTGCTTTCATTCTTCCTCCCTTCCTTCCTACCTCCCTCCCTTCCTTTCCAAATTACTATCAAAACCCCCACTCTCTCTCTGTCTCCCCCCTCTTTCCCTCTATCCCCCCCTTTTCCTCTCCCCCCCTCTACCTCTGTCTCTCTCTCTCTACCTCCTCTTCTCCCTTCCACCTGCCCTTCCTTCCTATCTAGGGCCCGTTGTCTAACGCCACAACGAGCTTTGCTTACTAGTCTCTTAATAAACCGAACTCTCTGCATTGATTATGCCTTTTGTTTCTACCCTGGGGAATAAGGAGATTTGGTGGGTGCAACATGGTATAAGAGGCACTTGACATTTAGTTACGAGGGAAGTTTTGGGAAAGGCATTAGAAGGCATATGTTAAACAGTGTGATGGTCAGAACTTTAGCTGTGAATACTGCAATTAAGCAAAGAAAAAACTAGACTGTATTTGTCAAAAGGATACTTTTATGCCCTTGAAAGTAGGATACCTGAGGTAAATATCTAAAATGCCAAACCTTAACTGCATTTCCTCATGCCAGTAATTATTGGGAATATTACACAAGCTAGCTTAACATACAGTATACGTTAAACTGCACAAACATCTGTTTTGCACTGTCTTCTAGGGCCTTGACTTTTGAAAGTATTGAATGTAGCATATTTGGGAACTTACAGTTATACAACATATTAGGCACATATTTAAATGTTGGTTGTCTATGGTAGGTGGGAATTTACAGAGCAATCCTCCGAATCCTACTCAGGTCTGTTCAGTGGGGCGTATTCCCAGAAAAGCATTCTTAGGATTGCACTGTTAATGTACTAAGACCAAACATGTAGGTTCTTTCATTCTGTTCTGTGGATTGGTAGTGATCCATAAAACTATAACAAAACCAGCAGAGGGAAATTAAGTCATTTTTCTACACCAAAGACCAACAGATGCTAAATCAAACTCAATTCACTGTTGGAAATTTTGTTTGTCTTTAAGGTGCTAATGGACTCAGATTTTGTTCTACTACTACAGATTAATTTGGCTATTCATCTGAAATTCAATTCATTCTATAATCCAGGGCTCATACATATAAGGTCACCAACTCTAGGTTGGGAAATTTGTGGAGATTTGGGGGTGGATCCTGGGGAGCAACATCAGCAGGGTATAACGCCACAGAGTCCATCCTCCAACACAGTCCATCTTCCAAAGCAGTTCAGAGATAAATTGTAATTCTGGGAGATCTCCTGGCTTCACTGGGAAGTTGCCAACCCTCAGTTTCCAGCATCCAGGTGGGGCCTGGGGATCTCCCGCTTTTACAACTGATCTCCAGCTGACAGAGATCAGCTCCCCTTGAGAAAATGGCTGCTTTGAAGAGTGGACTCTATGGCATTGTACCATGCTGCGGTCCCTCCCCTCCCCAAACCCTGCCCTGTCCTGGATCCATCCCAAATGCCTCCAGGTATTTTCTAACCCAGACCCTAGATACAGAATATATGGGTAAAAGGAAAGAGAAAGCACTGATAGGCAGTGATATGTGCTTCTACTGAGCAAAGCATGTTGCACGCTTCCTGTGAACTAAGTGGCATGTGACTCGACATATCATGTAACTTTACGTAGTGACCATCCCTCACGTTATGGCTGCTATTTAGAACAGTAGTTACCATGTAAAAAGTATTTTGAACAGCCTCTCAGCCAGGGAAAATATGGCAGCCTGCTGAGATCAAGTAGGGTTGCCAGCCTCCAGGTGGGGCCTGGAGATCTGCTTTTACAACTGATCTCCAGCTGACAGAGATCCCTTCGAGAAAATGCATGCTTTGAAGGGTGGCCTCTATGGCATTGTACCATGCTGAGGTCCCTCCCCTCCAAACCCCGCCCTCTTCCGGATCCACCCCCAAAGTCTCCGGGTATTTTCCAACCCAGAGTGGGCAACCCTAAGAGCGAGCAAATTTGAACAGCAGTCTGCAATGTAAGGATTTCTAGTTAACCGTGCAAGTGGTATGTCTAAATTCATAATAGCTCGATTACTTTTCCCAGTAGATATATCCAGATACCTACCATACATTGACTAATTTAAAAACTCTTATTAGGATAGAAAAACAATAAAATAAATTCTGGAATGTCAGGTTTCCCTACTAAATAAAGTGGAGGTAGGATATATTTTATTCACTCATTTACTTCATTAATACCCCACCTTCCACAGGGGGGGAACCAAAAGTGGCTTATATCCCTCCCCACTCCTCCATTTTATTATCCCTGTGAGGTAGTTTAGGTTGAGAGTGTGTCTGTCTTAAGATCTTCTGTGGCAGAGTGTGGATTTGTTGGGTGTTACATGTTAAAAACACTCAGTATATATGGGGTTAAATGTATGTTTGTGTTGCTCACGGGAAATCACATGTTTCATTTAGCCAATGGTAGTTTAGGACTACAAGCACGTGAAAACCATCCCTGATCTAGGAGTTTCATTGGAAGCAAAGTGTCAAAGTATTTTAGCATTTTATGGCTCCTCTTCCCGTCTTTGTGTTCTGTTCTGAAGAAGTAAGAGAAGCCATTGCTAGCTCTTCTAGTCTAGCCTTTGTAGACTAAAGATGTAGCTGTTTAGCTCTGTTGTTATTTTATTCCCAGTTACCCTTCCCTATGGTAGAATGTAGTAAAACTTTTCTATTTTAAACACACATGGACTCTGAGTCTTGATTATTTTACTCTGGCATTGCTGAGTTATTTAATCTCTGCTGAATTACAATTTTAAAAATCCAACAGGATTTGAACGTAGGCTTCCCAGTTTCCCAGGGGGCTGTGGTGGCTCAGAGGTTAAGACGCTGAGCTGCAGACTGGAAGGTCTGTAGCTTGGCAGTTTGAGACCCTAGTGCCGTGTGACAGAGTGAGCTCCCATCTCTGGCCCCAGGTCCTGCCAACCTAGCAGTTTGAAAGCAAGAAATTGCAAGTAGATAAATAAATAGGTACCACTTTGGTGGGAAGGTAACAGCATTCCGAGCGCCTCAGCCACATGACCACGGAAATGTCTTTGGACAGCACTGGCTCTTCAGCTTGGAAACAGAGATGAGCACCGCCCCCTAGAGTCAGATTTGACTGGCTTTCGAGCAAGGGAAACCTTTACCTTTCCAGTTTGTAATCCAGCACTGACCACTACACCACACTGGCTTCGCTGGGTCAGAACTTACCAGTATAGAACCGTGGCAAAGTATCACATCTTATCTGCTTTCTAGCACAGTAGTTTAAAAATGTCAACATTTAAATTATAGTTAGCACGCTCATAAAGAACCAGTTCTGAAAAGAGCTATACATATATGCTACTTTATTACGTTGCCTGTTAGCTAGTTATATTAAATACCCATCTCCAGTTGATACAGCAACATGGCTCTGAAGGTTAAGGTCCAATGACAGTAAGCATGGAGGTTTTCTCTGAGGTAAGGCTCATGTGTTCCCGTAGTAACTTCTTCCCGGTTTGAAAAGTCTTCCTGTCAACTCTCACAGTTGGAGACTTGTTATGAACCACTTGTGCCTTCCCGGAGGTCAGTGTTAGCTATACAGAAATGTGACAAACAACCAATTTAAAGTACTGTATAGTCTTGAGAATGTCTTTCTTATGAATTCGCTGTTCTCTGAAGGATGCACCCCTACTATAGGAAATCTGGTAATAAAATCCTTCACTCTATGAACAGATTCACTTATTTTTCTCCCTCTCATACAACAAGCACATTACTTTCAGTCACTGCACTGTGAAATCTGTGGAAAACTTAGCAGTGTGATGGAGCAACATATATTTTGCTTGAAAGCCACTTTGTTTTTGCGAAGCTATATTTTAACAATATTCACTGCATTCAGGACCTACTTAAGATCTGAAGGTGTGCACCACAATTGTTCTTCCAGCATGAATCTTTCAGATTTGCCATAGCTTAATGATTTAAAAACATGCTAAGTAGTCACTTTTTAAACGAGGGTGACGGCAACATTTCGAAAGGAATAGATTAAGTAAAATGCACTTTACTACGCACATTTTTAATATGTTTTTGCCTCTTAAACAGAAAGTCGGTTTGAGGGGACGTCTGAGGAGGGAAAGAACGAAGAGCTTTGCAAAACGAGAACGGAGGGGGAAATCGAAAAAAATCTAAACTAGATCTCATAATAAGAAAAACTCGATCTGGGGACGTGGCTTGCCTGAGGTTCTATAACACAACAGCAAAATAGTAGTAGAAATTCATCAAGAAAGTTGCAACGCGTACAGAAACACAGAACTTACGCAATGTGTGTAACCAATTCTCAGTTGACCTCCTACTAAAGAGAGGGGGAGGATTTGAGAGCCAAGAGCAAAGCCCGGACTGGAGCTGCCGTTGACTTATTATTTGCAAAACAAAGTGCCTTGGAGCAAGAGGCAGGTCGTATTTGCTAAGGAATCCAGTTCGGTTCTTTCTAGTACCTTTTGTAAAAGTTGAGTACGATATTTCTTTCAGAACGAGGAGACGGTGTTGCTGGGTCTCGATTTCTGCAGAGAACATGAGCGTCCAATGCAGGAGAGTTTTGTTGCAGAAAGTTGCCTGCAGAACGTCAGCCTGCTGGGGCTCGGATGTGGGACTCAGGAAAGTAGCCCGGCATAGCAAGGCGCTTTCTGAGGTGCGTTTCCTGGGCCCCTGGGCTGGCGGTCGATCGCCAACCCGGCTCCCGAAGACATCCTCCTTCTCCACACGAGTAGCAGCTGCTGCAGGCGACTATGAGACTGTTTTCAGGGCGTCGGTGGAAGAGCCTGAGAAACTGTGGGCAGAGGCGGCTCAGGGCATCGAGTGGCACAAACCCTGGACAAAAACCATGGAGAGGAGGGACCCCTATACCACCTCTTGGTGAGTGGCCGACATAACGCTTGCTGAGCTGATGCCTGGGCCACGTTACAAAAGCAATAATGATAAATGGTCGATTAGTGTGTAAGGTGTCACCTAATTCTCCTGCCCCCCCCCCCCTGCTCCCAGCAGACTCCTTTGCTGTTAATAGTGGGTTGACAGGCAGAAATTCAACAGGTGGAAACTATCGCTCCGATTTGCCACTATTCTGGGACTGCACCTGTTGAAATTTTGCCTATTAAAGGCACAGGAGCCCTGTTAGACAAAAAGGTGGCACGACTACTAAAGATGACAAATAGTAGCCAGTAAGAACTTTTTGAGTGAGCTTGAAGTCTGATTTCAGTGCTGTAGACCAGCTCAGGAGCATTGTCAAGACGAGGGTGCCTGGATGATTTATTGCATCTGGTCCCTATTTGCGACTGAACAACATGATTTCCAGGCTGGCTTGATCCCCAACCCTGATGTAATGCATTTTAACAAAGGACGAGCTTGTGCTACCATACCTGTGGGAAAGTTATACTGATTTCACCTACTTGAGTTCATTAAGATGAAATAGAATCTGTGCTAGATGCTTAACCAAGCATTGATAGATGTACAAAATCCACCTTTAAACATCACTCTTTATCATGCTTGTGAGTACAATCTGTTCTGGGATTTTAGGAGGTAACTGTGGTTACTAGTTGTGTAGAGAAAGACCCTGTACATAAAAGAACACATTATATATCAATATACAAACTGATAGTACTTACTGAATCTTACTGATTTCAACAGTTTGTGCAGGGATAACATTTTCCATCTCTGGCTGCACAATCATATTCACATAAAGGTCACAATCATTTCAGGATAAAAATATCTTTTTATTTGTTGAAAGAGTCAGGTCTTGGTTGTGATTTTTTTTTTTTTTACTAACTGCTGCCTTATTCACAAAGAGAGAATGCCATTATTTTCTCTCCTTTTGTCTCCAGCAACTTGGTACAACTTGAAAATCTGGTTTGCTTCCAGCATCATCTAATCAGATTTAATCTGCAATTTGTCTTTTTTTTCCTTTTAAATTTCAACTGCTTACTTTGGGCTGTGCCACCATACTTTGAAACAGTTTGTATTACTCCCCCCCCCCCAGTGTTGTATTGCTGAAAAAATCTAGATAACTGTAAAGTTCATTGTGATGCTCATTGTGATGTATGCTGTTTTGTGATATTATGTTTGGTACCATGGGTTGTGGCTCAGTGGTACTGGGGACAGGCTGTAGTTCAGCGGTAGAGCCTCTTCTTGGTATGCAGAAGGTCCCAGTGTCAGTCCCTGGCATCTTCCATTAAAAGGGTCAGATTTTAGGTGATGTGAAAGATCTCTGCCTGAGATCCTGAGCTGGTGCCATTATGAGGAGAGAACACTGACTTCAATGGACCAAGGATCTGATTCAGTATAAGGGATCCTTGTGTTCCTGGACTTTTACTTAAGAAAGAGGCATCAAAAGTCTTCTGTTGGCTTGGGTATTTCTGAAATGTGTGACAGATGTCATAGACGTAGTGTCTGGATTGTATATATATTATGTGACCCAGGAGCCACTAGGTATCATTTACCTCACATATAGACTGTGTGTCTTCATTCATAAGTGCACACAGGGGAAGATAACATTTATTAACAAAATATGTACCCCTCATTTCTGCCCTCATAAGGCCCCGATGGTGGCTAATAAATTAAAAATATATGTAATGAAATCACATCTTAGTTGGAAAATACACTGAAAGTGGATTGAAAGAGGATTATGTGTGACCGCAGCCTTGGTTAGGTCACCCAAACTTATAGAGTGCCTTTATAGAGTAAAGGTAAAGGTTCCCTTGCTCGAAAGCCAGTCGAATCCGACTCTAGGGTTGCGGTGCTCATCTCAGTTTCAAAGCCGAAGAGCCAGTGCTGTCTGAAGACGTTTCCGTGGTCATGTGGCTGGTATGACTAAACACCAAGGCGCCTGGAACGCTGTTACCTTCCCACCGAAGTACCTATTTATCTACTTGCAATTTCTTGCTTTCGAACTGCTAGGTTGGCAGGGGCTGGGTATAGAGTTTATAGAGTAGCGCTTAATAAATAGATGCTTTTGGTAAATAACTGGCTTTCCAAATTATTGATCTAACTAGTCATGGCCAAGGTTAGAACTGGACATTGATTAACTGGAGCTAATAATCCAGCCAACTTTGTCCCACCTGGCTTCTGGGAATTGTGGTCCCACCTGACTTCTGGGAAGTGTGGTCACTGGAGGGGAGGCCAGATCAAATGGATGCCTGCTGCCTCAACTAAAGGCCTAGCGGAAGAGCTTTGTCTTGCAGGCCCTGTGGAACTGTAATAGGTGACACAGGGCCCTGATATCATATGGTAGCTCATTCCACCAGGCAGGGACCAGGGCCGAAAAGCCCTGGCCCTAGTTGAGGCAAGTCAGACATTCCTAGGGCCAGGGACTAGGTTCATAGAATGTAATGTTCTACGGGGCTCATATGGGGAGCAGCGGTCTCAAAGATATGCAGGCCCCTGGGCATATAGGGCTTTAAAGGTAAACACCAGCACCTTGAAATGGATCCGGAATTCAATAGGCAGCCAATGCAGGTCATGCAGCACCGGGCGGATATGCACCCGCACAGGCAGCGACATCAACACCTGAGCCACTGTGTTCTGCACTAGCTGTAACTTCTGGAGCAGAGCCAAGGGAAGCCCAACATAGAATTATAGTAATCCAGTCTGGAAGGGACCGTTGCATGGGTCACTGCAGCCAGATCGTGGGAGTCAGGTATGGGGCCAACTGCCCGATCTGCCTGAGATGAAAAAAGGCAGACCTGGCAGCGGCGATGACCTGGGCCTTCATAGTCCGTGAGGCATCCATGAACACCCTTAGGCTCTTTACCTTCGGTGTTGGCACCAACGGGGCCCCCTTCAAAGGCTGGGAACCTAATACCCAATCCCAGTCCCCCACAAGCCAGGTACGGGACCTCCGTCTTTGACCTGAGTCAGATTGAGGTGACGAGAGAGGAGGTCCTAAAACTGATAGACAACTTAAAAACTGAAAAATCACCAGGCCCAGATGGCATACATCCGAGAGTTCTGAAAGAACTCAAATGTGAACTTGTAGATCTCCTGACAAAGATATGTAATCTTTCCTTAAAATCTGCCTCCATTCCTGAGGATTGGAAGGTAGCTAATGTCACTCCCATCTTTAAAAAGGGTTCCAGAGGAGATCCGGGAAATTACAGGCCAGTCAGTCTGACGTCGATACCGGGTAAATTGGTGGAAACCATTATTAAGGAAAGAATTAGTAGGCACATAGATGAACAAAACCTATTGAGGCAGACTCAGCACGGTTTCTGTAAGGGAAGATCTTGTCTCACTAACCTGTTAGTGTTCTTTGAGGGGGTGAACAAACATGTGGACAAGGGGGATCCAATAGATATTATTTACCTTGACTTCCAGAAAGCTTTTGATAAAGTTCCTCATCAAAGGCTCCTAAGTAAGCTCAAAAATCATGGGATAGAAGGACAAGTCCTTTTATGGATCAAAAACTGGCTAGTTCATAGAAAACAGAGAGTGAGTGTAGGTGGGCAATTTTCTCAGTGGAGGGTGGTAAGCAGTGGGGTACCGCAGGGATCAGTACTTGGTCCACTGCTTTTTAACTTGTTCATTAATGATTTGGAGATGGGAGTAAGCAGTGAAGTGGCTAAATTTAAGAGTATGCAATTTCATAAAGCTTGAAAAACTCTGAGCTAAAGGGTTTATCAGAATGTACATTTGGAGTCTATAATCCAAAAGCTGTTACACTGTTTTGGCGGTAATCAAATTGAAGCCTTTTCAAACAAACTTGTGAAACTAAATATGCTGCATCATTTTGGTTCTTCCAGAGGTTGAATGGTATTCTATTTGTATCCAGCCTTGTCCCAAAGCAGTGTTTATTTTCTTTGTTTCGTTGGACAGGTGAATTGATTGACTAATGTTTAACTCATGAAAGTGTATCTTCTGTCTATGGACTCCAATATATATGTGGAGCAAAAGTATTACTGACAGTAGCACCTCATGAAATTACTGCTTCTGTAACAAAAGGCCTAACAAATTGAATTATTACTGCTAATGGATAGCAAGCTCTATAATTGCCCTCCAGTGTAGAATACTGCAGAAGCAATTAGCTTCTTTCAGAAATACAGATCACAGTTCACTATAATCAAGAAAGTAGGACATCTGATCCTAAACAAAGAAAGTCAGTGCTGCTTTGTCACACAAATCTGACAAATTACTCTCAGTGTCCTGAAATGTTTCAAATCATCCTACACTAATATCTGTTTTAAGGCTCTTTCTGTCTTATATTCTAATAAGGAAGTCAGGATATCTTTGGATACTTAAATCCAGTTACTGAAGCTGTGAACGGGCAAGACAGATCTTTGTACAAACTTGAAAGGAGCCCTAGGTTTGCAGGAAAATGTGAAGCCTAAAAACAAATACACTGAGCAGCTTAAAAAAGCTGAAAATGATAAAAAGAGCATCTGTAGCTTTAAAAAGCAGATTCCCTCAATGGCTGTTGCTAGGCAACCATAGTATTTCAAGTTTAGTTCTGTTAATAAAAGGGAGGGGAAGGGGGAAGGGCCCTTATGAGGGGGAGATCCTTGGGGCCAGGCCTTACAAGGGTTGCTAACATTGGCGTCTCTTATGTTCTTATGTTCTTATGGATTCAATTTCATTCAGCTCTGTTGTAACCATCCAACCACGGCTTGTAATGTCCTGTCCAGAAGTTCAGGGGCAGAGTCTGGGTGGCTATCCATCAGTAGATAGAGCTTGGTGTCATCAGCATATTGGTGACACCTCAGCCCTTACCTTTAAATAATCTGGGTGAGGGGGCGTATATGTGTCACAGGAGCTCGAGGAAGACCCCTCACTTTCCTCCTCACTCGAGCTCCCCAATCCTCCAACTCCAGCCACCTTGGTTCACCCTCCTTGTCCTGGACCCCAGGAGGATAATGGCCTCAGACACCTGG